CTCTCTCTCTCTCTCTCTCTCTCTCTCTCTCTCTCTCTTTTCTCTCTCTCTCTCTCTCTCTCTCTCTCTCTCTCTCTCTCTCTCTCTCTCTCTCTCTCTCTCTCTCTCTCTCTCTCTCTCTCTCTCTTTTCCTCCGTTCTCTATCTCTTTCTATTTCTCTGTCTCATTCTCTTTCTCTCTCTCTTTTCCTCCGTTCCTTATCTCTTTCTATTTCTCTCTCACTCTCTCTTTCTCTCTCTATCTCGCTCTCTCTCTCTCTCTCTCACGAAATCTAAAGCTTTCTTTCTTTCTGTAAAACTCTATTTTTTTTTCTCCATTGACTCTTTCTTTCGCTCTCGCTTTCTTTCTCACTATTTCCCTATCTCACTCCTTTCTTTCTTTCTCTCGATTTTCGTATTTATTTCTTTGTGTCAATCTTTACGCCTTTCTTCTTCCTCTCTCCTTAGAAAGCCTTTGACAGCAAAGAAACACAGAGACACACACGCTCAGCATTTCCTGTCATCCTCCGAACCTTGCCACCATGTGTTCTTTAACTTGTCAAACCTATATTCATACAATTCATTGTTCATAAAATTCATTGCTCATGCAATTTATTGTTCATACAATTCAACGTTCATACAATTCATTATTCATCGATTCATTGTTCATACAATTAATTTTTCATTCAATTCTTGTTCACACAATTCATTGTTCATACAATTCATTGTTCTGTCCACTCCACTACATTCAGCGAGCAGCCGATAGAGGTGAGACCGGGTGACGAGCTCATCACCACGTGCAAGTTCAGCATACGAGAGGCGATGACACCAATCAGCTCAGGGATGGGGCCTGATGATGAGACGTGCAGCGGTTACCTCACCTTTTACCCCGCCCAAAATATCAAAACGATGTCATGCGTCGACGAACCAAACTCTTCGCCAATGTGTAAGTCCTCGCCATGATCTAGGGCAGCATTTCCCAAACTTTTAAGTTTCACGGACCGGTGGACAAGTTTCGAAACTGCACCAGGGACCGGTGCCAGATTTATTAGTTACATTTTCTTTCTATTTAAACTTCAATATTCATGCTCTCTGGACCGGTAACGTAAGGCTTGCGGACCGATGCCAGTCCACGGACCATCGTTTGGGGAACGCTGATCTAGGGGATGGCCCAAAAAAAAAGAAATGGGGTGTAATAATCCTGTTTATCTGGTGGATTAGGTGACAGCCCTAGATTAGGTGACAGTGTTACAGCCGTAGATTAAGTGATTTAGAAATGGCTTTAAGAGGATTAATGATGATTTTAAATTAACTAATTGTGGCTGACCTTAATCGGAGATTATCCTAAAATTTAGGTAATGGGGGATTACCTTAATTTAAGTTTTTGGGGATCACGTGAAATGAAGGGATTGGGGATAACCTTAAATGAGGGAAGTGTGGAATAACATTAATTAAGGGAGTGGGGATAAAATTAATTTAAGGAGTGGGCGTGAGGATAATCGTTAGTTAATGGAGTTGTCGATGGTCTTTCATTAAGGAAGTGATCGATGATCTTTCATGAAGTGAGTGGTCGATGATCTTTTATTAAGGGATTGGTCTATGATCCGCCATTAAGGTAGTGGTCGATGATCTTTCATGACGTGAGTGGTCGATGATCTTTCATTAAGGGAGTGGTCATGACCTTAGATTAACGGAGTGGAGTAACTTTGAATTGCTTGGATTAAAATGACAACAGTCAGCTTGCCCGTGTTATGTCTATCAGTGCCATCCAGCCGATTAAATAAGGTTGAATGATTTTTTGTCACCTTTCTCAAGTGTTGTATTAATAATTAATGTAATGTTATCTCGTGCTACTGTGCAACTGACCCTTGACACAGAAATGACCATCTCGTTGCGTAAAAGTAACAAGTTTGTAAACTTTAAAGGTCTGGGGTTTAAAATTGAACCTGAGTCTTTAAAAAAAAACCGAGATATTTAGGCAAACTTGGAGAGGAAATCGCACAAATATATGTCAGGAATTTAATTACATGGTTAACTCAAAGTACTAATTAAATATCAGATAAAGTGAAATCAACGTGTGTGTGGCTAAACTGATTAATGCCCATATGTTCAGTTTTAGTGATATATATATATATAGTATCATAGTCCATTAGTTATTAATTTTATAACTCTTCAAACAGTTTCTTCTTCTTTTTTTTTCTTTTTACAGGCTTTCCGTGAAGACAACGTTGAAGGAGCACACGACAGTTTTGAAACACACAAAAATAGGTTAATCTAAGGTTTAAACTATTCTTGTATCAATCGTCAAATACTAAATACTTGACATTGGTTGTTTTTTTTTCCCTTTAAATTACCATCTTGTTTGAATGTAAAAACCAACATTGAAAATAAAAACAAACCTTACTTCCCGCCAAACTTAGCGTCGAGTTCTGCTGTACCCGGATGAATGGTGACGTAGTTGGTCTTGTCGTTCAGATGAGCTCTACGTCAAACTAATAAACTGAACAATCGAATTGTGTGCCATGTGTCAATTTAACCGTTGAAAGTCTTCCCTTGTCTTTATATTTGAATATCATTGCCTTGTTGTTTTGTTACTGTTATATAGAGCTTCTTTACATAATTTTTCTCGTGCGTGCCCTATGATTGACCCCGCATGAGACGCTGTGTTCACAGAGGGGTGTGGCTTAGTCCTTTGATCTATTCGTGTTTATGCCGCCAGCTACTAAAAATAATTAATCTGTTCCAAGTAGTATTTTGTAGAATGAATGTGATTGTTCTAGAAACGTCATAAGTTTTCTGGAAGGCAGGGCTTACGCGACCTATATAAGGGATTGACAGGCACGGACGCAGGGACGGAGATTCAGATAGATTTATTAACTTTACGAAGCGTGTTTTATTCTTTGTGTATTTGTTAGCTTATATGTGTTTATTTCGCCTTATTCATTGGCACATTATTCCAACTGTATTAACTGTGTACCGGTACAAGATCTACCATACTGTAAGTTGAAGATTGTAATTATATTTTTCTTTTCTTTTGTAATTATCTTATTTTAAATCTTAATTAATTGTAACTAGAAACTGTTTTGGGTGTCGTATCTTTAAAGTTGTTGACTCAATGGCATCGTCCTTTGTTAGGCACTGTTTACAACGAGGCAATTAAAATTAACATATGAGATTAATTTTTCCCAATACAAGTCAGTGCGTAACAGTTACCCTTTTAGTGTGGGTGTGTGGGTTTTTTATCATTATATGATTTCAATTTTCTGGTTTTACCAAAGGCGATTCATTTCTTTTTTGGAATGTGTTGCGAACGGTTTATATTCTATAACAGTGGATTGAAAATTTAATTTAAATTTTCAATGGTCGATACGTAATGTCTTATCTTCACGTGTGTATTGAAATAAACAACGTTACGTTATGTGATGTATGCTTCGCATTGAGATACATTCCATATCATTTTGTTTAATTTAAGAATGAAATCTTTACAAAATACACATAAAGTCTAATAATAGAATTCGATTTAGGGCGCTTGGCAGGATTAATTCAGAACTACAACTTGGTCGGATATGACAGTCAATGTAAAATCGCTGTGGAATTAAGAAGTACTTTCCTTGCCTAAAACGTGCAGGATTACCAAGGCATTAAAACAAAAAAAATTGTTGCACATATTTCGAATCTCAAAACATTTTGCAGAGCAACAAATTTGTTTATGGACACATATTTAAAAATAGATTTACTGAAAAGTATGAAGCTGGACCAACATTTCCACTGTCCGTATGACTATGTTGCTAGAACTATGAGATCGATGTCATGTCAAGTGAGAATACGCCTATTATATAACTTGGTTGATGTTTAACATAAATAAGATCCCATTGGTTTAAAGAAATCAAAGAATATCAAGAATACTACTGGAGTTACAATTTATTCACTTAACATTTATGTTTGAACAATGTCTCATTTTTTCGGACATCCTTAAGTTTTTCAGCACAATTCCCGGCGATGGAGCTAAGTGCATTTCGTTATAAACTTCTCCCCATGAGGTCTTTTGGGGCGTTTTGTGCAGTATTAGGATTTCTAACTCATTCAGAGTTACAGTCTATCCTAGAAAAGTCTATCAGAGTACAGTCTATCAGAGTACAGTCTCTCAGGGTACAGTCTATCATGGCCCAAAATCTCAATCACAGTACTCATTGAGAGTAAAACATTATATCATAGTACAAACAGTCTTTGACAGTAAAAGCGGACTATCATAGTACAGTCTATCTATTTATTCAACCTAAAACAAATGTTCTTAAAAATCTAATTTGATTTTCTTGTTTTCTTTTATTTTTTTTTTAATACTTAAAAAAAACAAAAAAACTTTTTATTACGTGTATTTTAAAACCTTTGTGCATGCCGCAAATGACTCACGCTTGACAGAGTTTGCCGACCTAATCTACATAGCAGTGTGAGTTTACCCTACCAGCTTAAAGCAAAGCAATCAGAAGACTACTTCGGGCTAATCGTTTTTTGAATTCAATAACTGATCGACGATGTCTCAAGTTCTGTCTTTCCTGCACCTCACTGTGCAAAATATCGAAACAAAAGTCTCCCTGAACCTTGAGCTCATTCTAAGGTACACG